AGGAGAGGTGCAGCAGTCGTAGGTGGGGTCACATTTGTCCAATGTGGAAGTAGGTCGTGCCCAAGGGTTAGGCAAGGGAAAAATTCTCCTGCCTACGGTTTATAAGCTGCTTCTCCGCTCATATGCCGTATTCTATTCAAGATTGATGGACTGACCACATCGACTCAAGGCTGAGGGACTGATTACCTCATTCTCCTCCTGTTCTTCACGATTCACCTTTGTATGGACTGATGAAGCCACTGTGTGGCGAAACGTTTCCTCAATAAAGATACCCAAGAGTTGCACATGTGTCTAATTTATCAACGTGTCGGTTCTCTGAACCATTCATCTACAACAACAACAACAATAATAATAATAATAATAATAATAATAATAATAATAATAATAATAATAATAATAATAATAATAATAATAATAATAATAATAATAACATACAAGAGAATAAAACACACATCCGATATTTTAGCATACATACAGAGGTACAAAAAAATACAGGTAAGAGCAGCATGCCAAAGCCACTTATATGCATAGCATTACGGGCTGGCTTAAAATTAACTTAAGATTAACTAAGCAATGATGAAATCAGTGATAAAACATTATTGTAAACAGATAACTATAAAGCACAAATGAGTATTACAAAGACAGGTCATATGGTTGCATACATTGCTGTACATTCAGTAGAATGGAGTATTCTGTTAGGAAGTGTATTTAAAAAATAACAAAGTTAGATTGGGTCCTAGGTTTAACATTTATGTGATATAATTGTGAGTAACATATAGGATATACTATTTATAAGGTTAAGTTATTCAGTATTTATTTGGTTTTGAGTGAGTAAGTGATCTTTGAGAAGAGACTTGAATTTATAAACAGGTAGTGTTTCTTTTATATTTACAGGTAATGAATTCCAGATTTTAGGGCCTTTTATGTGCATTGAGTTTTTGCATGGAGTGAGATGGACACGAGGAACATCAAAGAGTGATCTGTGCCTTGTGTTATGGTCATGTGTTCTGTTGAGGTTGGCAAGGAGATATTTGAGGGGAGGGTTAATATCAGAGTTAAGTGTTCTATGTATGTAATAGGTGCAGTAATAAGTATGGATGTTTTGTTTGGTGAGTAGGTTGAGTGTTTTGAATATTGGTGGAGTGTGCTGCCTGTAGTGAGAATTTGTTATCATTCTAACTGCAGCCTTTTGTTGGGTAATTAGTGGTCTGAGATGGTTAATTGTTGTTGAGCCCCATGCACAAATTCCATAGGTGAGATAGGGGTAAATAAGAGAGTGATAAAGGGCCAGGAGAGCTGACTGTGGAACATAGTACCGTATCTTCGATAGTATGCCTACAGTCTTGGAAATTTTCTTAGAAATTTGTTGTATATGTGTATGAAATTTGAGTCTATTATCAAGGTGGTTTCCTAAGAATTTTCCCTCTGTTAGCTTTGTGATAGGTGATCCGTTTATTGTTATGTTAAGAGGTACATCTGTAGCTCTGTTACCAAACTGAATGAAGTAGGTTTTGTCAATGTTTAGTGTAAGTTTGTTAGTCCTCATCCAGGTAGATATTTTCTGTAATTCGGTGTTTACAGTATTGGCTAGCGTGACTGGGCTCGGGTGAGAGAAGACGTATGTAGTGTCATCTGCAAAAAGTGTGGGTTTGAGTAATTGCGAAGCATTTGGTAGGTCATTTATGTATAGGAGAAAGAGAAGAGAGCCAAGGACACTTCCCTGTGGGACACCAACTGTAATTGGTTGAGCGGAAGAGCTTGCCCCATTTGCGTACACATATTGGCTTCTGTTGCTGAGGTATGACTTGAGGTAGTTGAGGGAGTGCCCTCTAATACCATACTGTGACAATTTTACGTGGAGCAAGTCATGGTCAACTGTATCAAAAGCATTACGTAAGTCAATGAAGATCCCCAGTGGGACTTCTTTTTTCTCTATTGCAGTGTATATATGTTCTAGCATGTGTATAATAGCATCACTAGTATTTTTATTAGGCCTGAATCCAAATTGGCAGGGGTTGAGAATGTTTTGGGAGATGAGGTAGGAGTAGATTCGTTTATGAATTAATTTTTCGAAGATTTTTGAGAGAGGGTGTAAATTGGATATTGGCCTATAGTTATTCAACTCTGTTTGGTCTCCTCCTTATAGAAAATATACAATCCTGTTAGTCTAAGTAATACACAAGCAATGTAGATCACAACAACAACAACAACAAAAAAAGTAACAAATTTGTCTTCAGTAACGTTTTTAGTGAAATATTTCGGCTTAGTGTGGTTGGCAGATCCTTTTGATATTTAGGTGGAATATTGGACAGACAAGTCCTCGTTACTTTCTCTGCCAATTGTAACATTTTCTCCTTGTTAGTTGTTATGTGTGTGAGCACAGAAAGTGCCAACTCACACAGGTGATATGATATACCTGCTGACATATCATGTATCTGTCTGCTGATGGTATCGTCTGAGAGTTAAATCTTTTTAATTTATTTTTTCTGCTTGGCTCCCAAAAGTCGTTTTTACTATGGTACTTTATGCAGGGAAAATAAATGTTTATGCTTCTGTATGAGGCTTCATGTTTTTAGAGAGGTAATTCTGCTACTATCTGGCCTCTTGACCTTTATTACAAATTTTGACAGTTTTGGAAAATATCAAGTTCTGTTGTCTTCCCTCATTTAAAAGTCTCTCAGAGTATGATGGAGACTTTTCAGTAAGATAACAATATTTCATAGTAAAATATCTTTAATTGCTGGGTATCATGACTTCAGTGTACAGTTTATCACCACAAATAAGATATTCTGGGGTAGGATTAACGTTATTATCACACCAGGTAAATCCCAGATCTAAATAACTGTCCAAATAAAGACGACATTTCTTTCTTCTAATCACATCAGTTTTACCCTAAGTGGGAACTGTTTCTTTTTTTGTTCATATTTCCACCTTTGTTTTCCTTTTCATCCTTATTGCAGTCATCTTCATGTTTTCTCTTCTTGATCACAAAGTTGTCCATGTTAAAGGGCAAACTACTGTTTAAAACGTCTGGTTATAATACAATGAGAAACTAACTTGTTCCATCTCCCCGGGGAGTCAACACCACACTGACGAAAACCAGTCATGTATTGGATGGCACAACTGTGAAGTTGTAAATAAAGAAAATGACAGCTTTTCACTACTCATTATTCACACTATCTTCGGCACTCGTTATCCACACTTGCTTCACTATTTATCATCCTCTATCTTTATTACTCATTCACGCTGACTTCACTACTCATCATTCACACTCACTTCACAACTCACCGTTCACACTATCCTCACTACTCATCATCTGCACTAGATTCACTTCTCATCATCCTCACTAAATTTACTAACCATTACATATTATAGCTTTCTTAGTCCCTCTCAATCCTTGATTTTCATCCCCATTAGCAAAGTTTGCCTCTGATAACAAACATGTCTAAGTACATGCGCTTCACTGGGCGGAAATCCTATTTTTTCAAAATTTACGTCGAAAAATGCAGCTCCGGACAGTATATTCTCAGGAATGAATTGCTAGCCTGGTGCTATGAGTTGGGTGGGTGTCCAGGCTAACAGACGTGTAGGAGGATGTAATGGATAGGATCAACAATACATGTACACTGGTGAGTACTGGAGTAGTAGCGTGGAGGGTCGTCCCGGCTGGTTATTGTCCACAGATCATTGTCGAAGAAGATGAGCCTTGTGATCTTCTCCTCTTGACATACTGTTACGTTCCTTTGGTGCGACTCAGTCGGAACTTGTATGATGAAGGTATGGAGACATGAATGGAAGGATGAAGAAAATTGTAAGGCGGACTTGTTTAATAATATTATTTTGGATGATGCGCAGGAGCTTCCACCATGTCTTCATTCTTAGAGAATGTGTTAAGATTGTAGTTTTTTTTCTTTTAACACAATTCCCAGAACAACTATGTTACAAAGATGAGCAAGAAGAGTGGATGATAAATTATGAATCTCAGTTCTTTTCCATCCACTCGTAAACATTACCAGCTAAAGGAAAGAGATATTAAGGATATATAAACTTTTGATAATTTTGAAAAGTAAAAAAGTTAGCACATAAGAATGGTATGAGGTTTACAGCCAATAGAGATAAATATACTGTGTTGATAAACTAGACACATATGCAACACTTGGGTATCTTTAATGGGGAAATGCTTCTCCACGCTGTGGCTTCATCAATCCTATACAAAGAAGAATGGTGAAGAATAGTGCTTATAACTAAATAATGTAGATCTTAATCACTTGGAATACAAAAAGATTTAGGAGTTCTGGTTAGCAGTATAAATAACAGGAGTCCTCAAGTTATTCTTCAACTCTATATATCACTGGTTAGTCCTCATTTACATTATGTTGCACAGTTCTGGTCACCGCATTACAGAATGGATACAAATGCGCTGAAAAACGTACGGAGAAGGATGACAAAGTTGATCCCATATATAAGAAACCTCTCCTATGAGGATAGACTGAATGTACTGAATCTACGCTCTCTAGAAAGACAGAATCAGGGGTGATATGAGTGAGGTGTATAAATGGAAAAAAAGAATAAATAGAAGGGATGTAAATAACGTGCTTAAAATATTTAGATAAGATAGGACTCGCAGCAATGATAAACGGATCACCTATCACAAAGCTCACAGAGGGAAAATTCTTAGGAATCCACCTTGATAATAGACTCAAATTTCAAACACATATACAACAAATTTCCAAGAAAATTTCCAAGACCGTAGGCATACTACCGAAGATACGGTACTATGTTCCACAGTCAGTCCTCCTGGCCCTATATCACTCACTTATTTACCCCTATCTCACCTATGGAATTTGTGCATGGGGCTCAACAAAAATAAAATATCTCACACCATTAATTACCCAACAAGAGGCTGCAGTCAGAATGATAACAAATTCCCACTACAGGCAGCACATTCCACCAATATTCAAAACTCTAAACCTACTCACCATACAAAACATCCATACTTATTATTGTACCTACTACATTGTATCATGGTTCTCGCTGCGTCCTGGTCTTCCTTGATGTAATCCCCTCGTATTTTGGGGAGAAGCTATATTTTCCCTGACTCTTAGGAGGCTGGGTTTAAATACCGTAGTAAAGTTTTACTACTACAACATGGATGTCAACCCTCTGTGTGTTATATTGGTCAAGAATGGCAGTAGGGGAGACAGGTTGCTTTTTCGTTATCCATACTCTGTTGATACAAAAATGGAGACAAAAGCTACAAATAGACGATCTAACCCATATTCAGTGATCAATGATGTGAACAAACTTACATCTCTAATAGCCCACACATCAAACATCTCCAATGGCAAACTTGTTGGCTTTAGTGATAAGATTATGTCGAATCTTTTTGCTGTGAAAAGTGAATTGTGCGATAGTAAATTTGAATTGAAAGTTAATGATGTGAGATTCGTTGGACACCCTGTACGCCTCGACCCCTCTACAACACATAGTCGTCCACAAGACAAGCGCAAGTCATCAACAATCATTCTTTTCAATATTGTCTTTGCATTAAAGGCAACTTTAAACCATGATGTTGTGAATTGCTACCATGATCTGAGTATGAGGCTTGGGTTGGCTCTGCGTCATGAAGAGTACCGCTGCCAATTTCTCTCATCTGAAGCTAAGATTATGCTTGCAGCTCATGATGAGGCTTCCCAGCTGCCAGAGGATGGTCAAGTCTCACCATTTCAGCTAATCTTGGACCGAAGCCTGCTTGCTCGGCACCTCAGGCAAGTTTATGAAGAGTTGTGTGGATCAGGTATTGTTCAACTTCGACTCAACAAATGGATAGAAGTTAGCTTTTGTTTGCCACAGAAAGTTCATCACAGTTTAGCAACTGGTCGTCCAGTTGATTGTGAAGGGCTTCTTCGAGGGCTAAAAACCTTGAAGCCATACCACATATTGCTTCTTTTGGTGGAGCGGTCAGAACTCCTACATACATTGTCACCAGATGCGTCACAAGCTCTCTGGCGATTACTTCATGTAGAAGAGTCACATCTAACTCCCTTCTTCACATTAGCTGCTGATGCTGACCTTACTCTAACTCAGGTTTTAATGCTAGTGGGTCACCTAGTGTACTGGGGCAAGGCTACTATCATATACCCTGTCTGCAGTACCAACATGTACGCTCTATCTCCAAATGCTCCCACCATTTTAAATAGCCAACTATCTGAGAGCTTTAGTCAGCAATTTCCGGGTTCCTCTCTCCTTGGTGTTATGGCAGAGTTTTCTCTACCAACATCTCTCAGTGATAAATGTTATCCCATAACTTCACCTCATCAGCAGCAAGAACAAGTGCAGCAGGTATTATGGCTGTTGAAACATGGTCTACTGCAGCAACTGCATACTTACGTCTATCTATCTCCTCCAATGTCTTATGATTGTGATGGAGTGAGAGCAGGGGGGCGAGAGCTTGGAGCAGGCCAAACAGGAAGCCATGGGACCAGTTCTCCAGCTAGTACTAGCATTCCAACACCAACTGTCCATGAGCCACCACCTCTCTCCAATGAAACCTCATATCTTGCACCACACCCTCAGTCTAATCATCATCCAGACATAACTCGTGATGCTCTCCATCATGCAGTAGTGCAACTTAGCCAGCCAGCTTCTGAGAGTGATTTGGGTTCAGTATGTAGCGATGAGAGGAGCCCTAGTCCAGGAATAAACATTGGCACCACACCAGAGGATTCAGTTCACCATTGTCTGGATGCTGTATTATCTCCTGCAGAAAAAGAGATGGTGATGAAAGTGGAAGCAGCACGCAACCCAGAAGATCTCAAACTTTTCTCAAAATTGTGTGTTTACTTCCGAGGTCATCACCATCTTGAAGAGATGATGTACAGAGTTAATCTAAGAAGATCAACTCTGCTTCAACTTATCGACAAGTTCCGCCAGGTGCTTATAACTTGTCAGCATCCAGATGACTCTACTACATTATCCTCTCATGCTAAGTGATATTGTGCAAGTCTAGCATGAGATTTCAGTTATTGTAAATAAAATGATGTTGTCATAAGACATGTGCTTAGAGAATTATATTTTTTAATATTTATTTTTTCAATTATTTAAATGTTTCTGACCTGCACTCATGACAATAATAAAGTATTCTGTGAGTAGACCATGCATTCAGAGTATTAAATGCTTTTATCACTGCTGCTGCAACTTTTATGGATTGTTTATTTCAGCAGTTGCACTGAACTTTAAAAGCATATGGAAATTCAATCTAATATGCATGACATATTCAGTTTCTATAATATGTACATTTCCTGGCGGATTCTCTCCCACTTCATGAAAGTGTAAAAAGTAATGATAATGAATAAAGATTTGATTGCTTAGTATATTTGAGGTGATAATTCGGGTTAGGTAGCATTCAATATTCTGATTCAAAAATACTGAGCTATATTATACAGAAGATACAAAGTTGCTATTTGACATAAAACTAAATAATATAAACATACCATCTTCAAAAAAAATGAGTGTGAATGCTCAGATAAGAATTCATCATCATACGAGCAGTGGCTCGTACGTTGGATTGCGTGCAGCCAGCAGTAACAGCCTGGTTGATCAGGCTCTGATCCACCATGAGGCCTGGTCACAGACCAGGCCGCGGGGGCGTTGACCCCCTGAACTCTCTCCAGGTAAACTCTCCAGGTAAACATACATAGAACACTCCAAACCAACAGATACAGATACTAATGCCGGAAACCCCCCCCCCCCCCAGTACCAACAATACCACCAGTCCGATGACATTCTTCTTTGCAAATATACAGGGTCTAAAGCCAGCAACAAACAACAAAATACCTTTCATCCGTGGACTGCTTGCAGAGGCAAAGGCAATGTTCGCGGCTTTCACTGAGACCCACATAAGGATCACTGGGACAAAGAAATATGGATCCCAGGTTACAACCTATACAGATGTGACAGAGTGAACAGGCAAAAGGGGAGGGTTGGCCTGTACATTGCAGAGTCACTTGTTTGCACAGAACTGCTTAATGCCTCAAATGATGTAGTGGAAGTTTTAGCAGTAAAGGTCGAGAACCAAAACCTAGTCATTGTGGTAGTCTACAAGCCTCCGGATGCAACATCCCAGAAATTCCAGGAACAGCTGTTAAAAATTGACCACTGTCTGGAAAATCTTTCAGCTCCTGCACCCAACATCTTGCTCCTGGGGGATTTCAACTTAAGGCACATAAAATGGAGGAATATAGCAAATAATATTGTTGCAGTAATAACGTTAAGAGACCATACAATAAGTGTCAGGGGCCCGAGACTGTTCAACTGCCTCCCAGCACACATAAGGGGGATTACCAACAGACCCCTGGCAGTCTTCAAGCTGGCACTGGACAAGCACCTAAAGTCAGTTCCGGATCAGCCGGGCTGTGGCTCGTATGTTGGTTTGCGTGCAGCCAGCAGCAACAGCCTGGTTGATCAGGCTCTGATCCACCAGGAGGCCTGGTCTCAGACCGGGCCGCGGGGGCGTTGACCCCCGGAACTCTCTCCAGGTAAACTCCAGGTAAAACCAGGAGGCAGCTCTGATGAAAACTCACACTCACACGAGCTTTTAAATCTCTGCACAAAATTCAATTTAAACCAGCAAATAATAGAGCCTACTAGACTGGAGAATACACTAGACCTCATCTTCACTAACAATGATGATCTGATACGAAATGTCACCATATCAAAAACAATATACTCAGATCACAACATAACTGAGGTTCAGACATGTATGCGCGGAGCCCCAGACCAACATAATGAGATTAGTCACGAGGGAGCATTCACCAAATTAAACTTCAATAACAAAAACATAAAGTGGGACCAAGAAAACCAAATCCTAACTGATATAAGCTGGGAAGATATACTAAGCAACACAGACCCCAACTTATGCCTAGAACAGATTAACTCGGTGGCACTCGATGTATGCACAAGGCTTATTCCTCTAAGAAAAAGGAGGAGTAGATGTAAAATAGAAAGAGATAGGCGCTCCCTTTACAGGCGACGGAAAAGAATAACAGAGCTGCTAAAAGAGGTCAATATATCTGAAAGGCGTAGGGAGACACTTGTCAGAGAAATAGCAAGCATCAAACTTAAGCTAAAGGAATCTTATAGGAGTCAGGAATCGCGGGAAGAACTAAAAGCCATAAATGAAATTGAAAGAAACCCAAAGTATTTCTTCTAATATGCCAAATCAAAGTCGAGAACAACGTCCAGTATTGTATCCCTACTTAAACAAGATGGGTCCTACACAGATGACAGCAAGGAAATGAGTGAGTTACTCAAGTCCCAATATGACTCAGTTTTTAGCAAGCCGCTAACCAGATTGAGAGTCGAAGATCAAAATTAATTTTTCATGAGAGAGCCACAGAATTTGGTTAACACAAGCATATCTGATGTTATCCTGACGCCAAATGACTTCGAACAGGCGATAAATGACATGCCCATGCACTCTGCCCCAGGGCCAGACTCATGGAACTCCGTGTTCATCAAGAACTGCAAGAAGCCCCTATCAGGAGCTTTTACCATCCTATGGAGAGGGAGCATGGACATGAGGGTCGTCCCACAGTTACTAAAAACAACAGACATAGCCCCACTCCACAAAGGGGGCAGTAAAGCAACAGCAAAGAACTACAGACCGATAGCACTAACATCCCATATCATAAAAATCTTTGAAAGGGTCCTAAGAAGCAAGATCACCACCCATCTAGAAACCCATCAATTAAACAACCCAGGGCAACATGGGTTTAGAACAGGTCGCTCCTGTCTGTCTCAACTATTGGATCACTACGACAAGGTCCTAGATGCACTAGAAGACAAAAAGAATGCAGATGTAATATATACAGACTTTGCAAAAGCCTTCGACAAGTGTGACCATGGCGTAATAGCGCACAAAATGCGTGCTAAAGGAATAACGGGAAAAGTCGGTCGATGGATCTATAATTTCCTCACTAACAGAACACAGAGTAGTAGTCAACAGAGTAAAGTCCGAGGCAGCTACGGTGAAAAACTCTGTTCCACAAGGCACAGTACTTGCTCCCATCGTGTTCCTCATCCTCATATCTGACATAGACAAGGATGTCAGCCAAAGCACCGTGTCTTCCTTTGCAGATGACACCCGAATCTGCATGACAGTGTCTTCCATTGCAGACACTGTAAGGCTCCAGGCGGACATCAACCAAATCTTTCAGTGGGCTGCAGAAAACAATATGAAGTTTAACGATGAGAAATTTCAATCACTCAGATATGGCAAACACGAGGAAATTAAATCTTCATCAGAGTACAAAACAAATTCTGGCCACAAAATAGAGCGAAACACCAACGTCAAAGACCTGGGAGTGATCATGTCGGAGGATCTCACCTTCAAGGACCATAACATTGTATCAATCGATCTGCTAGAAAAATGACAGGATGGATAATGAGAACCTTCAAAACTAGGGAGGCCAAGCCCATGATGACACTCTTCAGGTCACTTGTTCTATCTAGGCTGGAATATTGCTGCACACTAACAGCACCTTTCAAGGCAGGTGAAATTGCTGACCTAGAAAATGTACAGAGAACCTTCACGGCGCGCATAATGGAGATAAAACACCTCAATTACTGGGAACGTTTGGGGGGGTTCCTAAACCGTATTCCCTGAACGCAGGGGGAGAGATAATGATTTTTACTCGGGAAAAATCCTAGGGGGAACTAGTCCCCAAAATTGCACACAAAAATCACCACTAGAAAGCAAAAGACTTGGGGGGACGATGCAAAACCCCCCAAAAAAAGCGGGGTGTCACTAGCACTTTAAAGAGACATACAAAAGGTCGGGGGCCCGGACTTTTTAAACTGCCCCCCGCATACATAAGGGGGTTTCCCAACAGACCCTGGAGTCTTCAAGCTGGCCTGGACAGCACCTAAAGTCGGTTCCTGACCACCCGGGCTGTGCTTCTTGGGTTTTCTTGCAGCCCAAAAGTAACAGCCCGGTTGTCAGGCTTGATCCACCGGGGCGGTTTCAGACCGGGCCGCGGGGGCGTTTACCCCCCGGAACTCTCTCCAGGTAAACTCCCAAAAAACTTAACTGGAAAAAACCCTTCCCCCAAACGTCTCCCTTTCCCTCACAGAAACATGACCATAAAACAAGGCACAGATCACTCTTTGATGTTCTCGTGTCCCTCCCCACCCTCTTGCAAAACTCAATGTTAAAAGGCCCAAAAATCTGGAATTTCTTACCTGTTTAAAATTTAAAAAAAACCTGTTTGTTTTTAAATTCAGTTTTCTTAAAAATCACTTTCTCACCCCAGCTAAAAAAATACGAATAATTTTTTCATAAATGTTTAAAACCCGTGACCCAAAACAAACTTTGTTATTTTTTTTACATTTCCCAAAGAAAACTCCATTTATAATTGCCAGCCCGTAAATAACCATATGACCTTTTTGAAATACTCATTTGTGTTAATTGTTTTCTGTTTACAAAAATTTTTCCCATAAAATATTCATTCTTAGTTAATTTAATTTAAATTTTAACCCATCATGTTTTGCCAAAAGGGGGTGTTTTTTACACTAATTTTTTTTAAACTGAATTTTAACACCCCTTTTTCAGGTGGGGCACTGTCTTCCCTCTCAGGACTCAAGTCCGGCCTGCCGGTTTCCCTGAATCCTTCAAAAAATGTTACTTTGCTCACCTCCAACAGCACGAAAGTATTAAAAGCCATTTGTCTCCATTACTCCTATCAAACACGCTCACGCATCCCCGCGGGAAGCCCAAGCCCCTCGCACACAAAAACCCCCTTTACCCCTCCCTAACCTTTCCTAGGCCGACCTTACCCCGCTTTCCACTACGACGATACACTTGAAGTATTCTTTTTCGCCCATTCTCTCCACTGTCCGAACCCCCTAACCCCTTTTCCCCAGCCCCCTGGACACAGTTTTGGGAATCCCCCCCTCCTCCAACTCCAAAATACGAATTCTCTGATTATATTCCCCCACACATTGCCCCCAGACATGACATTCCACGCCTCCAGCTTCCTCGCTGCAACATTCTACCCATGCTTCCACCCCTATAGGCGTTGGTAAAACTAAACTTCATACATTCCCCCTTTTCCCCCAAGGACAAGTTCTTTTTCTCTCAATTCTAAATGCACCCCTCACCTTTTCCCCCCCCCTAAAATTTTATGATTCACCCCTTTTTTCATAGGACCATCCGCTGACCCCGTCCATCCCAAATTCTGAAACATTCACCTCCTCCCTACTCTCTCCCCCCCAATCTGATATCCAATCTTTCATCACCTAACTTTTTGTTATTATAACTTACTTTTCCTGTATTCACTTTTTAAATTTTCTTCTTTTTCACACCCTACAAATTCATCCCAAACTCTGCAATTTTTTCAGAATCTCCAGAGCACATGTCATCGCAAAGGCAACTGTGACAACTCCCACTTTATGTGTGATTCTTTATCTTTTAACTCCACGCCTCTTGCCAAGACTCTCGCATTTACTTCTCTTACAACCCCATCTATAAATATATTAAACAACCACGGTGACATCACACATCCCTCTCTAAGGCCTACTTTTACTGGGAAATAATCTCCCTCTTTCCTACATACTCTTACTTGAGCCTCACTATCCTCGTAAAAACTCTTCACTGCTTTCAGTAA